AGTGATAAGATACATAATATAAAAAAATAATTAATTAAAATTTTTTATTAATAAGATTATAATGAATTTCAAATCCCCCAATTAAACCTATTGGTGAATGGATATCTCAATGATTGACTTCGTCATAAGCCCAAGAGCTAACCCAACCCAACCCAACGCACGATTAAAGACCCAACTTAAGTGAACCAAGCCCATTCTTCCACCATCTAGCACCGAGGCCGACCCGCATTTTAGCCCGTCTCTGCCTTCGTCCTCGCGTTAAAACCCTACAGTTTCTGTGCACAAACCCTCTTTCTCTTCGAGGTGAAGATTCAAGCTTTGAAAACATGGTTAGTTCATCTCGAAATTAGGGTTCAGTTTTGTTCTGGTTTTGTTCTGGTTTTGTTCGTTGATCTTCTCGCTGTTACTGACTCTGTGTTTCTGCTGCTTTGTTTCTGAAGCCGCAAGGTGATTACATAGAGCTTCACAGGAAGCGGCATGGCTATCGCCATGACCACTTCGAGCGCCAGCGCAAGAAGGAAGCTCGTGAAGTGCATAAGCGCTCTGCCATGGCCCAAAAGGTCTATGCTATTCTCTCTTTTTTTTTTTTTTTGAAAGCATTTTCATCGTTTGAATTTTTTGAGCTGATTGTTGTGTTGATTTTGTTCAATTGTTGGATGCAAAACAGGCGTTGGGTATTAAGGGTAAGATGTTTGCCAAGAAGCGGTATGCTGAGAAGGCCCTCATGAAGAAAACGTAAGTCCTTTAGTCCTATTTTACCTTGAATTATTAAATTTTGGTTCTTAACTAGCTAATTGAAATGTTATGTTTTAATTTGAGCATAAAAGTTCTTTGTTCTCGTTAAATTTAATTGTTCGATTCCAATCAATCAATATTTGTGTCTTTTAGCTGCCCAGCATTTATGTTGTATGTTTTCTTTGATCTTAGTAGTTATGTGCTTTGTGCATTTTTTTTTGGTGTCAAATTCTTTGATTTAGTGGTGGGTCAGAAATGGGAATGCAGCAAATGTCCTCAGTTTGTTGATAATAAATTTGTTTTATGTTTTTCATTGCTTCAATACTCAATTTCTGTTGGATTGGATGTTGGTTTCTGTATGAACCAGGTTGCTATAGATGGTATGCGACAGCTTAAGGGGTCTGCAAATATAAAATTTCGATGGGATTCAATGATAAACCAATTAAATCAGTTATCTATGCTATCTAACTAGTGATTTGATTGTCTTCTGTTGAATTGTGCTTTCTTTGTGTCACTTACTTGAGTGGGATTATGCTGTGTCACATGGTATGTCACTACTAAATTGAATTTGACATGGTTGCAAAGCTTCCTACCAGACATGGTTATGCTTCTTTATGTTTTCAACTTTAGGTAAGTTTTTTTGGGGGATTTTCTTGATACTTTAGTCTGTTCTTTCTTAATCTATAATTTAAAGAGTGGTTGTAACTCCATTGTCTTTAATAATGCTCTCTGATGATCAATAAGAAATTGAAGTTAATACTTTCCCATTATACTTTTGGTTCTTTAATGTTAGTGTTACCTGATTAACAATTGTGGATCTTTTATGCACAATGTCAATAGATTGGCTATGCATGAGGAGTCATCACATAGGCGTAATGTTGATGATGAAGTCCATGAGGGAGCTGTTCCTGCCTATCTGCTGGATCGTGAACAGACAGCACGTGTAAAAGTATGTAGTTGATGCTGTTGTTCAGGAAAAATTTATATGGATAAAATTATTGCAAATGGATCTAACATTGTCATCATGTTGTTTATAGACTCTTAGCAACACTATAAAGCAAAAGAGGAAAGAGAAAGCTGGTAAATGGGAGGTCCCTCTGCCCAAGGTAAAGATATTCAACCTTTTTCATCCTATATTTTAGTATGTGTTTTCCCCTTACTCATTTTTGTTTTTGTTTTTGACTTTCATCTACTAAAGCAGTGGTTTAATCATGCCTTGTGAGTAACTTTAAATGTTTCATTTTTTTAGGTGAGACCTGTGGCCGAAGATGAGATGTTTAAAGTAATCAGATCTGGTAAACGAAAAAGTAAGTATATCTGTTGAACATTTTCCTCATTGCAACTATTTTTCTTTGATGAATACCTTTTTATTTGCTGTAAGCATTGGGTCCTCTGTTAATAATGTCTCTGGTATCGTTGGTTTTTGCTATTGCAGCAAAGCAGTGGAAGAGAATGGTCACAAAGTGCACATTTGTAGGACCTGGTTTTACAAGAAAACCTCCCAAGTATGAGCGTTTCATCCGTCCTTCAGGGTTGCGATTTACCAAAGCTCATGTTACACATCCTGAGCTAAAATGCACCTTCTGCCTTGATATCATTGGGGTGAAGAAAAATCCTAATGGTCCAATGTATTCCTCTCTTGGTGTGATGACAAAGGGAACCATCATTGAGGTAAATATTTGTTAAGAATGGTGGTAAACCATGTTAAGAATTTGATTTTTGAAATTACTCATTAATCCTTGTTCTTAAATTCAGGTGAATGTTAGTGAATTGGGTCTTGTCACACCAGCTGGCAAAGTTGTATGGGGTAAATATCTCCTTTCAGCTGCTTCCTAATGCATGACCAACTATCATTCTGGTTTAGTCCTTATTCTCATTTGGTTTTCTTGAATGCAGGAAAATATGCTCAAGTAACAAACAACCCAGAGAATGATGGTTGTATAAATGCAGTTTTGCTTGTGTAAGTGAGTTGGTGTTGGGGCCAAAATAGGAGTGGGTTGGTCATTGGTGGAGGCAAAACATGTATCAACAAAATGAGTTGCTTTGCCTTAATATCATGTTATCTGCAATTTTGTTAGGTAAAATGTGTTTAACTTCTTATTCTTTTGTACTTTGACCATGCCAAATGGATGTTCAATTCTTTAGATATCACATTCAGTTTTGCTTTGTTCTTTGTAACCTGGGTATATGTCATTCTGCTTTGGTATTTTAGGTGAATAGGTTATAATGGCTGTATTTTACCGATCAACATCTTATTTAAGTTTTACAAACGATGATGATGAATGATTGATGATATAGTATGATTAACCTTGTGTTGCTCAGAAGCCTATACTGTTTAAACCTGATCCTCTGAAATTGGTTTTTAATCTAATCAAATAATATCAATTGGGGGGGACTTATAATTTAAACCTCTTTAGAGATGTTTTGGATCGGCAAAGCCTTTGGTTTCTGATGAACCCATTGAAATTCAATTTTAATTTTAATTTTTTACTTTTTATGTTAGTACAACTATCCTGTTTCAGGAGTTTTGTCATTGTAACCTCTGGAATCATTCAGGTCTGTTCTGCCTGCAACTTGAACCACATGCTTTGCCTATATATAATATCATTTATTGACTTGAGGATTGAAGGATTATTTATTCTGTGGATGATACTGAGTAAGTATGACTATTATTTATTACTATTATTTTTATTTTTATTTTTATTTTTAAATTAAAACTAAAAAGCTTCTTGAAATGAGGTCTTTTTGAGTTTGAGTCACAATTTGAATATTGGGATAGGTGGGAGTGGGTTTGGGAAGAAAATGGTTATCCTTTGTAGGACAGCCTATTTGATTGTGTTGTTTTGTGTCAATAACTTTCCAGCCTTCCCGGATTTTTTAAGGAGGTTGCTTAAGGGGTTTTCTGCCTTTTGTTGTCGTGGAAGTGAAGGTGCAGGTAAATGCCTTTCGTATATGCTTTGCCTGGTGGTCACAACTCACAAGCCTTGTACAGGAGGAAAGTAGTCTATTTTGCCTTGGAAGTATGATTATAGTAGATTTATTTGGAAAGTAAAAACTTTCTAAATAAAAAGTTGATGTCTAAGGTATATATATACTAGAAAGAGACGAAATATTTACAATCCTAACAGGCTTAAAACATATCAGTACCCCTACAAACTTTGAATTTTATCTGCATGTGTACTACCAAACCATTGAGGTCATGGGTTACCTGACCCCCTTTTTTTTTTCCTTTTTTCCTTTTTGATCTTGAATTGTACAAGAGACAACCCAATTTTTATTTTTTATCCATTCAACGCGTGTATTTATAACGGGAATTCAAAAACTCTCACTTCCATTGAAAAAAAAAAAAAACTTAGAATTGCTTAAATTGTTTATACTAATTTGCCTAACTTCTTAATGGGAACATTAACGGAACAAGTATAACCTATGTCAACTTGAAAGGGCAGAAAATTTTGATTCCAACGACTCCACCTGTACTGCTTAATGAAATATGGAAGGGAAGTCATAATTAATCTCTCATTAAGAATTTGGCATTATTTAAGACAGCATATCAATTGAACAAATGATCAACTTAGCACAGCTTTGCAGAAGCAAAGATTTCATCTCCATATCTCCAGAAAGCTGGAGAAACATCCCTTAGAATTCAACACACAGCACGCATCACTAGCCAGAAATCAACGTCCCCAGGGACATCAGAGGACCACACTTAATGTTTGAAAGGCATTGCCTTGCACTCAGATACATTACGATAAGATTTAGTGATTATTGTGCAGTAGTAGTGGGCACAGTAGCTAAAGTTTGGGGTTCAATCACCTGAAACAAGCCTGTCGCCAGCCTCCTAGTCAGCTCCTCAACTGGAACCTTCATTACATCTCTTCTCATGCCAATATCAGCTGCGTATCGGCTAGCACAATAGACCCCAACTGCTGTAGCTGCCATGCCATAAACATTTGTAGTGACAAGGCGCAGAGGTGTAGATAACACAGCTGCAAGAGGTCCACCTATGATGGATACGGCTTGGCCACTCTGCCCAATGGTTCCATGATCCACAACAAGCAGTCCTGTTTTGCAGTAGATTGCAAAATCTTCACAGTTGTTCTTGAACACGTTATAGCAGCCAAATCCATTTTCAAGCAAGTATTTTGCTCGATGAACAACTACGTCATCTAGATCTGAGCCAGCAAGAGTGCAAGTCCCACCACGAGCTTTTGCAAGAAAAAGTGCAGGGCTGACTCCATACTCAAAACGGTACAATATCCCCCCAGCAAGGAAGCATTTCAAGCAAGAGGAAAGGACACCACCACCTTCTTCTGGTGGAATGCAGTTAGGGCAAGGGACATGCGATCGAGCTGGTCCTGAACTGAACAAGATGAGGTCCAGCACCGTTCCTGTACCTACTTCTTGGCCATGCCTCGTAAAATGGATGACAGTATCATCCCCAACATAGATACCTACACTCATTCAGAATTATAACGGCATAATTGGTCAGACAATTCCAAATTAGGAAAAATAATTCTTGTAGACTTGCAGTTATTGATTAATTCTTGTAGACCTGTAGTTATCATTAATACGATAGAGCAACATAGGCCCATACTCTGAAACCCACAACGCAGCAAAGCGGTGCAGACATCAGAAAATAACTTCACGGAGTAATACTAATAAGATAAACAGGATCCACTTACACTAGACTAAATTTGGTAAAATGACATCTTAATCAAAAAATTCCTTAAACAAAAGAGACATCACTAGAATCGAAGAATGAACGACTAGTTCTCACTTTGGAAGGTCTGGCATCCCATATCAACAATACAAGTTTCTTACACCCCAGCATTTCTTAATTCTAGTTCAAACTTCAAAGTTGACACTTGATGGTATGTTGTTGAAGATCTAACTCAGTGACCCTCATTTCTATTCATTATGATAATGTCTTAGAAAAATGATTGGTGACTGAACCAATGCCAAAGACAACAAGTGGCAGTGTGGTAAAAGCCAAAACCAATAATATAAGCTGACCTATACGATTGAGGACCAGACCATACACCTGATATGAAATTACAATCTGGTCAATAGCATCACATAGCAAGCTAGTGTCTGTCAAGCCCTATGCTACAATCAGAATCTGCCTACCGAAATTACCCAGCATTGTAGGTGAGAATATATAATGCTACTAATGCAGAAAAACAAAATATTTTTCAGAAATTACACTCCTGAAATCGACTCTCATTCAGATCAATTGGGAAAAAGAAAGCAAACCGAACATCATTTAACAACATCCATTAATAATCAAACGTATGGGGCTATCAAATCATCAATGCACTTAGGAAAGAACTTCTCCTTCAAGAAACTTGTAGAAGAGACACAGCCAAAACCAAATTTTCATGAAAAAAGGAATGAACTTTCCCCCCATCCATCTACTGGGTCTATCATTATGCAATTTAAAAGACGAAAAACAAACAAATAACAAAATTTTCATGAGGGAGGGATCGGAAAAAACCGTGATGTGCATAAACATAAGCAGCCCTCCATGAGTAGATATGATCTCCAGGCTTCAGACTTTCCTTATTGATTCTGTTTCATTCATTGATTCATCCATCAAAAATTCAAAAATTTAACCAACAAAAAAAAAACAAAATCTACAATGAGGTGCCCAAAAAAAAAAAAAAAAACCTGAAACCAAACCAACCAGATTGATTGCGATGACAAAATACCTGTTGGAAAGCAAACCCATCTCCCTTTTTCTTTCTTTCTCGTGAAATTGGCGTTTGAAATTCCTCCGGGAATTTGATTCTCCGGCGTCCCGTGAACCCCAAACCAGAAGAAGAAAGGCGAAATCCCTAGTGCTTGTTGGAATAAAAGCGGAAACGATCTTTGCTTGCGACGTTTCCCGTGATCTACGTGGCAGCCGACGCAACGGCACAGGAATCGAGATAATAGTGAATTGACGATTTTGTCCTCTTTCTGTAAAGTTCTTCGTCTTTAAGCAAGGGATATGCCAAATCGAGGAATGATCGACTTTGGGCTGGATTGTCAGTGTTGTTGTGGGTTCTCCACTAGTCCATTGGGACTTTTTGGGCCTATCAGACCGTTTACAGAAAAAAAAACACCGTTTTGTGGTGATACAAATAAAATGGAGGATACCAACGTGGTTAGAGTAAATGAAACTTACTTATCTTAAAAGAAAGTCTTAAATTTGAGTTTTGAGATTAAAAAAAATGAGTGTTGGAGAGTTTTTTCTTAAGGGGTCCAACATGCCTTAACTCCAAATTGATTGAAATTCAATATGACTTTTGGATTAATTCAAATCTAATATAAGTTTTGAATAGTAGAATAGTAATAAAAAAAAGAAAGATATGTGAGAAAAATAAGGAAAGTCTTGACTAATTCTCCATAAATTTTTTAAAAGAAATTTCAAATAAAATCTAATAGAAGTTAAAAGAAAGATTTTCCACATATTTCTCAATGTAATGGTCTAAAACTAAAAAAAATTACCGACAGTTTTTCAAAAAGATAACGGAGAATAATAGAGGATAAAAAAGATAACAACTTTTGGACATATATTTAAAGATTAAAATACTAATTTGATCTCTCAACTTTTAAATTTATATTAAAATTATTTTTAAATTTAATAAAAATGCCAACTCAT